TATGGAATGGGAAGGGAGTTCTCAGCATCCCAGGTGCTGTTTTTTAACAGGAAAGATAGCTCTATCTGTCTGTTACACACCAATGTGATTTTAGTCATGTCCTGTCCTTTCTCACTCTTACAATAGCCTGGCTGAATCTGAAGTGTTAAAAAAAAAAAAAAAAACCCTCCCCATCTACAATGACGTCACTCACCATTACCTGAACTGTCCTGCTCTCTACTTGCTCCTTAGTTATTACTGTTTCTCCCTGTCTAAACTCTTTTGTGGCCCTTTCTTGCACCTGCCCCAGATTTCATTTTCCTGCCATTTAGAATGCAGTCATTAACTACCTTTTTAGTGCCGCCATGTTATATATTCATAATGTTAAAGATGTCCTTTCTACCTGCCCAGCCTCGGGCTTCACCCGCTTAGGAACCTGTGCCAATACCTTTCTCTCTTTGAAATTAAAAGCAGCTGTGGCCTCTCTACCCCTCTCCCTTTCCAACTTCTGTAATTCTCAACCTCCCTCCCTCAGGAGTCTCGGTATCATCAGGCTGGCATATCCCTAGCAGTGAGCAGAGAAAATGATGGACAAGGATGCTATGCCATGTGCACAGGAAGGAACAAAGAGGGGCAGAAGCCATGCAACTGCAATTGATCCTGTGCGTCTCTCTGGAAACTCAGTGGTGGGATAATCTGTTTGTCAACTGCCGATAAAGGAAAGACCAATATAGCCACTGAAAGAACATGAAATCAGCTTTCCCTGGAAGTTGGGCCAAACAATCCCTTCCACCCCCCCCAGCCCCCCCCTCCCCCCGTGCAGCAAGAGCAGGCAGAAAGACTGGCACCTTCTCTCCTGGTTTGCTGACAGTTCACACCACACCAAAATGCCTAAGTAAACCAAGGGCATTTGCTACACGATACATGGTAGCTTTCCTTGAACTGAGCTCATTAGGAAGCTCCTTCACAATGGACTGCACAGCTCAATAAGGACACCCAGACTCTTGTAAAATCCCAGAGGCCTGTCCAGGAGCTGGCTATTCCACTTGTTTTTAAAGGCAAATTTCTTAATTACTTTGGAATTGCTGTGATAAAACACCATGACCAGCGCAACTTAGAAAGCATTTAATTTGGGGGTTATGGTTGTAGGGGGTTAGAGTCTATGACCATAATATGGGGGAGCAGGCCAGCAGGCATGGCAATGGAGCAGTAGCTGAGAGTTCACATCTTGAGGCTACATCAGGAAGCAGAGTAAGCTAACTGGGAATGGCATGGACTTTTGAAACTTTTGAAAGCCTGCCCACAGTGACCTACAGGCCCCCTACAACAGGGACACACCTCCTAATCCTCTTCAAATAGTTCCACCAACTGGGCATCAAGTGTTTAAACATATGAGTGTCTAGGGGCCATTCTCATTCAAACTACCACCGCAGGTATGTGCTTATTCATTGCTCTTTTACTCTACTTTGGGGCTCAAACCATAAAAATTTTAAGATCGTTTCTTATCTAAAGTTTATTTTTAGAAAACCCCTCTTCTAGACTTTCTCTCCCAGACACTATCTTTTGTCTAATTCATTTATATTTCCTTAAGATAGCCCATATAAATAAATAGCATTGGAATTCTGCCATCACTTACAACGTTTTTCTTTAAAATGCATCTTTAAGGGGCAAGTATGCTGATATGCACTCGTAAGATGATAATTTGTACTAATTACAACAATACCATTGGGGGATGTATGACTCTTCTCCTTTGTCTCCGTAATCGCATTGGCAGACGGTCTAAGTGTTCTTAGAGTTGTTTAAAAAGGAACGTTGTGTTCTACGCTATCTGGCAGTTTCTAAATTCACATATTTAAAATATTCTTCCTTGTTCACAGACCATAAAATTGCACATCTCATTTGCAATTGAATTTTTAGAGGCTCTCCCCAAGTGGGGGAGAGATGCATCAAATGTACTTTTTCTAAGTTGGCTCTGTTCCAGGACAGACATGGTAAACCCCTCTCTATTTCACTGTCTGACTAGATTGGTGCAGATGCTAAACATTTCCTGGATTTCCCCATAAAACTCTTTTCATCTTTGGTTGCTTCCACCTGGCTTTACTTTGTGTTATAGCTTTTCTCTGTTTTCCAGAATAAGGCTGACTGTCACTTGTGAAAATTACTACTTTCTGTGCTCATTCTTATCTCTGTGAAAGAGACGGTCAGTCCATGTACAATTCCCAGAAAACTAGAATGGGATTCGATAACCACGAGATCTGTAATTGTTCTCTCCAAATCATGGTCAGAGGTAGAGGTGGAGTTGGAAGGGAGGTAGTGGTGTTTAAGAACCCTAAATAAAGTAGGTTGTTAAAATAAATCTAAGCCTACAGCACACACTTTTTGCCAAAAGAAAAATCACAAAATATCTGAACATTTTACATTGATTATGGGTTGGTAGGATACAATTTGGGCAATGTTAGTTTAAGAAAACATTTTTAAAGTTTAATCACTTTTTGTCATTTTAGTAAGATGGCTCTTAGAAATTTGAAAGTACTTCTGTGACTCGTTTCATAATTTGTTTTTTTTTTCTTTTAATTAATGCTTGCCAGTGATATGTACTGAAGATTATGTAATATGTACCTGAAGATTTCTGTTTCTGTGTTGGGTAGCAATTTCTTCCTAATTGAAACAACCCCCCACCAAAAGGGAGAAGGGAGGCTAATGAGACTCAGGAAGTAAGCATCTCTCAAGTCTCAGGAAGTTCCTAAAAGTGAGAGTAATCACAAGGCCACTCCCTCAGGTTACAAGAACAGCAAACAATTGCTGGGGAGAAGAGCCTCCCCTACCACGCAGAGATCCCTACAGGAGTATCTCCAACCTGTGAAGCTGTCTGCGTGTTGCTCAGGGAGCTCCGGGGATGGAATTTTCATGAGTTGTCATCCGTGTTGGGCTTTTCAGAGATGCAGATGGCTTTGAGTTGTCTATGCTCCTCTAACTCCTTACTCATATACCTACAAGTAACCCCAATAAGCTCTGTTTATCAAGTTGGAGTTTAGTGTCGTCATTGCTTTGGTCAGTTGTGAGTGCCTTATTTGGGATCAGGCATTTTTTCACATCTTCCAAGAAAAAAAAATTCTCTGTGTGTGTGTGTGTGTGTGTGTGTGTGTGTGTGTGTGTGTATGTGTGTCTCACTCCTTCCCTCCCTCCCAGCCTCTCTCTCTGTCTCTTTCTCCCTTCATCCATCTATCTATCTATATCTATCTATCTATCTATCTATCTATCTATCTATCTATCTATCTCCTCTCTCTTCCTCCTCCTTTTCCTCCTCTTCCATCCCCCTTTTCTTCCTCTGCCTCTTTGCCACATTGAGTCTGTGCTACATACTCTCACAATGATGTACTATGCTGGCCCAGGCTCACAGCAATAGAAGTCATGACCATGGACAGATATCTGATTTTATGAGCCAAAATAAGCCTCTCCTTCTTGTTTATAAGATAAAGATAATAGCTAGTCAACAGGCACATCCTGGGAGAGGATCTACCCATCGACTCCAGTATGCAATGCCTTCTTCTTTAGCAGCAGAGTTCCAATTTCAGCATGAAACTTGACTCCTTGCTAATGGCAACATTTCCCAGACTCTTACAGCGGCCTCTGACCAGGTGACTAATTTCCAGGAAAAAGACTTAAGAACAGAAGTAACACATTTAACTACTTGAACTGAGCCTTCTCCTTCAATGCCTGTAACATAGGGATGCTACTGAGTGACTTTCAGACATTAAGGGAAAACAGCTTAGGAATTACAAGGTCTTGCTCACTGTTATGACTGACTTAATTGCACAGCTGAATTTGTTCTCTGAAACACTACTCCTGAGATTTATGAAACTAAAGGATATGCTTCACACAAAGTGGCCATTGTAGGGCTAATACATAGTAGATACTCAGAGATGGACACTGTTGATAGCCCTCCATTTTTTCCCTGGACCATGGACGTGCCAGAAAAGCACTTGTACACATCAAACAAGAAAAGTAAGAGCCAAACGACATCTATTTGACGAGACTGTGGATGATGTGATTGCTGAATGTGGCAACCTCTACATGGGCAGAATTTCCCCTGAGCCTCAGGAGTTAAAAATCACAAGCTAACCTACTGGGATACCAAGGGCCTGCTCTGTACAGGTGGGAATCATGATGAGGCTGCTAAGTGGGACCAGCAGAGAGCACATCTGTGCCATTCATGCTTCATTACTCCAGAGTTTCCCTCAAAATGCTATTTGGCCATTAAATTCTGATGTCTTCCGGCTTTCTCAGTGGTGAAGATAAGAGCAAAGACAGCAAGTTTTAATGACTTCTTTCTTTGCAGGTATAGACTCATCGGAGCTTAGAAGAAATGCAGCTCCCAAGGCAGGAGAAACAGCCACAGGTATCGATAGAGAGAAGATTATTCAGAGAGATTTGCTGTCATAGGCAGTGATAGGATTGATGGTCATAGCTACCCCTCAGCCCGAGAATAAAGAAGCATCCCCATGCAAGTAAATTATTACTAGAGAATTCTCAATATTAAAGTATCGTTTCTTCACTTCTCTGTAAATCCGTGCATGTGTTTCTGGGACCTATACAGAAAGCATGATTCATCTAAAGGGCAGAATTGCTCAGTCTGAAGCTCAAAATAAGGTGTCAACCTACTCCTCAATTGCATTAGCCTGGTGACATCCAGTAAACAAGAGTGTCAACGTTCAAACCCCAGTCTGCACCAGAGCCAAGAGTCTTAGCATCCCAGCATCCCAAGGCCTGTCCAGCTCATCTGCCAGAAGAAGGGTGAGTATATTGCTTCACACCCCTCACCCACAAAGCTGTGTATCACCTGGACCCAATGACAGCACAGGTCCTCGGGTGCCCCCAGCCCCAGCCCCGAGCACATCCTCCTCAGAAGCTGTACAGACATGCTTGAATGGCACGCCAGGCTTCTGTGGAGGATGCCCAGGTCAGATGAGCAGAGCAGCAACTGTCACCAAGTGTGAGCATAATCAGGACTGAAGTCACAC